CTTCACCATCTATATCATCATCCCTCCTCGAGGATTCATCATCAATGACAGTTTGAACTGGTTTCTTGGGATACTCCATTCGTCCTTTAGTTCTAGAAGCCACCATGAAAGCAAGAAATTGTTCACACCCCTCTTTGCCTTGAGTGTCATTGTCACTTTCATCTTTATCCGACTTTGATTCATCATCCTAAGTGATAGCGAATGCTTTCTTCTTCCTCAAACGATTAGGGCATTTTTAAGCAAAGTGGAAAAATTCTTGGTATTCATAGCATTGGACTCTTTCAGGGTTTCCTTGTATTTTTCATTTCTTCTTTTTGGTTATAGAATCAATTTTGAGATTATCTTTGCCTTTAGATTTATGAGTTGATTCCAAAAGATTAGGCTCTTTTTCAAAAAAGACTTTTGCAAATTGTTTTACAAACGCATCCATAATCTTGGAATAATTCTCACAATTCCCATCATAATCCTTTCCCACTCTATGAGCACTACTAAAAGCAATATCATCTTTTTGTTTCTTTTTAAAATTCATATGTGCCTCATAGGTTTGGAGATTTCCAACCAAATGATCCAGCTTGAGATTGTCAACATCTTGAGCCTCCTCAATAGCCGTAACTTTTGGTTGGAATCGATCAGGCAAGGATCTCAAAAATTTTCCCACAATCTTGGATTCCGGTATTTTTTCACCTAAATTGAAGTTGGAATTTACAATGTCACTCAACTTCGCATAAAATTCATCAAATGTCTCACTATTTTTCATTGAAAGGTTTTCGAAACTAGAAGTGAGCCTTTGAAGTTTTGAGCATTTAAAAATGAGTGCCCTTATGAATAGTTTGTAAGATATCCTAAGCCTCTTTTGCGACTTCACAATTACAAATACGACTAAACTCTTCTAGTGTGACGGCGCACAAGAGAGAATTGATAATTTTACTATACTAGCTACTATTTTGGTAATCAGTTTTGTCTCATTTATCAATTGGTTTAGGTAATGTTACTTTATCAATGGTAATCGTCGGTTCGATCCACCCACACATGATAGATTGCCGAGCTTTTTCATCAATAGATTTGAAAAACGCTCTCATCCGAGCTTTCCAAAAAGAATAATTAGATCCGTCAAGTAGGCTTTCCAAAAAGAATAATTAGATCCGTTAAGTAGGGGTGGTCGAACCGTAGAATTCCCTTCATGAATTGAATCCATTATCACAAATCAAACAAGATCTCGCCCTAATAGTTTTGAAAAAATAAAAAATAATCAACGACCTGCTCTGATACCAATTGAAAAATCTAAAATCTTAAGATATTGATTTGTGATTATGCTTCAATTTTAAACAATGAATAACAACCCTAATCAAACAATCAAGACAAATCGACACAACGATTTAACATGAAAAAACCACAATTGGCACGCCTCCAGTTGTGATAAAAAAAATCACGAGCCAAAGTAGCAAAACAATCCACTAAGAAAACAGAAAGAAATTACACAAGAGTGTTCTCAATTACCTAGCGAATCCACGCCCAAATTGAACCAAACTCGATGTTCCTTTTCCACCACTGTCTTCACCTCGAAATTGTCTTGCCCAACGTTGAATCCACAATGCTGATATCAAATGCACGATGATGAGCCACTTCAGAATCCACCAAAGCTTTAGGCCCAAATTCTTCGGAATCCACCGAAGAACAACTCTCTCTTTTGTGAAGAAAAGAATAAGAACAACCCTTGATGTTTGACAATCTATAGATCGTTGATCAATCGTTCAACTTCTATACACCAAAAGAACTTATACAAAACAACCTCCAATAGAAAACGCTTTGTCTTTTCTTACTCTCAGATTCTAGACATCTTAAACCCTAAAATGAGCAAATAGCAGACTTTATAGTAAATTGGATTGCGAAGACCGCTCGAGCACACATTTCACCGCTCGAGAGGTGTGAGTAGGTGGTGCAAAACATATAGGCTAACCACTTAAGTGCAACTATCACTGCTTAAATCGTAAAACTTTCTTCCCAGAAGTTCAGAGCCATTCACTGCTTGAGCGCACAAATGACCGCACAGGTGATCACGCCACTTTGGCTTTAGAGGCGTTGCCCCTCAACCTTGCCTGGGCCTTACATAGTCAGTAAAGTGGCAAACATGAAAGCCTCAAGATCACAAACTCTTCTGCATAGGCACAATTCGGGTTGGATTCACATCTACACACTCACATCCTCACTAAAACACAAGAGCAAATAAAATTACAACTGAAAGGAGTTTTGTCAAACAAGATTGTTAATTACAAAAACTTAACACTCTTTTCTCTCTTCTTTCTTCAATCTTTTCTCTCTCTTCATCGCCGCCATCACCACACTCATCATCAATAATGACGAAGCGGCAACAAAGAGGTCATTGAGGTCCCGGTAGGCGGAGGGGGTCACTAATTTGTGCAATCAACAATCTCTCCTTACTCTTTATATATACATACATATAGTTGAGATCAACCAACAGACTATTCAAGTCCAGATCAACCAACTCCTCAATCTCATCATCAACACTTTCAACTACGACTGTGCAAAAACACTGCCCAATTCACTAAAACTGCACCGATCCATATCAATCCTCACCATTCAATCTGATAACCGTGAATTAAACTTTAAGTTTTATACTCTTCCTTCAAAACTGCTCTGCTCTGCTATAGTTAATACATATATATGTTTTAACCTCTAATAAAATATCAAAGTAAAAATGAATATGAGAGAGATTTAAAATGTGTAATTTGTTACCAATTAGTAGTTATATATATGAAACATAATATGTAAAATTAGTTTGTGTCAGATATATAAAAAATATGATGCAAATTAGTAGTATATATTATGCAAATGATTGATAATTGGTTAGAATATTCTTCAATCCCCAATCTGCCCAAAATTGCCCAAACCACGATTTGCCAATTCGTCATTCGATTTATAATTTTTATCTCTAACCACCCGATCTACACCGTGCACACCCCTATTTTCAACAAATTTGTTCAAAAATGATTATTTTTTAATTTGATTGATTTTGTTTTTTCAATCAGATCTATTTAAAAAAGGCTCAAAAAATGGCTTAGATTTGTTCTTTTGCTCTGGGTTATATATATATATATATATTATCTAGCTTGTATGATTTGATTATTTGTTGTTGTTATTGTTGTTGCTGTTGTAAATTGCAACAAATAGTGGCAGAAATATCCGTGTAGTTGTTGTTGTTTGGTGTATCTAAATAGATAACTTTCTTCTTCTTCTCTATAATTAAATAGATAACTCTCTATAATTAAAAGTTGAACAGGTAAAGGAAAAATTTGAACAGATAGTTAAAAAATTTGAACAAATACATATGAATTTAAACAGATAGTCAACAAAAAGTCAATAGATAAAAAAAGTCAACAAATAAATTAAAGGGTAAAATTGAAAACAAAGTGTCCTCCAAAAGTAACAAAAGAATTTCTCACCAAACTATTTCATAAATGCTGAACCTCTTTCTAAAAAAATATTCATTGGACCTAATATCTTATACCTTCCTAACCTTAGATTTTTTAACATTTTATTCTATATTAAATAACTTACAAAGTATACGCCGATTTTTGGATTAAATTTATGATATATTTATCGAAGTACCCATACTTCATTAAAATATATTTTTTTCCATTAAATTTAATGACTAAAATTTAAAATAAAAAAAAAATGTGAGTTATATGAAAGTTCCCCAACAACTAACCTTGACAAGGAAACAAACAATAGCAATGAGCATACTACTTAAGGTTCATCAAACACTTTTAATCAGCTCCATGTTCATCCTTAAGTGTATACGTTTGATTCTGCAATCAAACGTATTAATCAGAGAGAGATTTATTTTGTTTCAGTTGAGGCAATTTTTGGATTCTTTTTTCAGTTGAAACCTGTGAATACGATTTTTTGGATATTGGATTAAATAAAGTTACACTGACGTTATTTTGTATCCCAAATTGGTGGATGAAAAACATTTGAGATTGTTTCCATTGTCCACCCCAAACTAGAAAATATTTTTCACATTTGTTGACATTTGATATAGCAAAAATTATAAATCAACCAATAATGTTTTCCGTAGTCAAAGACAAATGAGCCGATTTTCATTTTCTAGGAGAAATATTTCACTAATTTTTTATCATTGTTTGTATCCTTTACTGTCATGGATACATATGATTGATTTTAATATTTAGAGATAATTATTAAAAAATTAATGATGCACATATCGGCAATACAAATTGGTAACAAAAAGCATGTTACATATAACCCTCAATTTTTAAATGTAAAAAATATTTTTCAAATTAGAATTGTAAAAAATATAATCGGTACAGCACCAGTGTTACCACCACTACCCTCACCCATATCATCACCACCATCACTTTCACCACAACCACCACCACTATTGCATTTTTTCTAGGATTGTAACTAAATAGATAAAACCACAAAATGACAATTTTTGAAAAATATTTTTAGCAAAAAAAAAAAAAAATCCTCTATTTTGATAGGGGATAAATATTGGAACTTTTTTCATTTCCTCCAAACTGCCATACAATTGTTTTGAGTCACATGAAATAATTCTAATTCAATTGGAACGAAATGGGACTGTCATATCTTGCAATTTAAAAAAAATAGTAAAATAAAATTAACGTATCAACATATCTATAAAGATATTCCACCAAAAAAAAGTTGTATTATTTATTCAACTCATATTTCTCAAAAAGTGGATCCCTCAATAATAGCTTCAAATAATTAAACAGAACTAATATGAAAGGAGGAAAATATGATTGCCTACTTCAATGCATATATATATATATATATCTTGGTTATAAATATATAATCCCATAAGACTTTGGGGTTGGACCCAATGATCTAACAGCTACACATTAAGGTGTTGTGAGAGAGAGGTAGGGGTTGAAATTGATAGAGTAGCGATAAAATTTTTCAATTGTAATCTAACTATATTAACACTATCTTTGTCAAAAAGTAAAAAAATCCCATAGTAGAGTTTTATATTCTTCATTAAATTGACGCATCAAATGTTTCAAAGCATAGTCTTCACTATTTACAGATAACCTATAAAGATATTTCACAATAAAATAGTTTTAAGGTCAATTTTGTACATCATTATCCATGTCTGTATTGTTCGCACCAAGCACGACTCCAAGAGCATTATTTGCTTATATGTCATTCATATCCCTTTGTTCATATAAGTATTTGTTCATATAAGTAGGGCAACTTCAGCATTAGGGGAACAGCTACTCTTCTTGGAAATTTGATTGCTTCCAATTCCAAGGGAGAGGGGACCACAAAAATCATACATAAATTTTGATCTGAAAGAAAATAAAAAATAAGATACATTTGGATTAGAATATGATCGTCACTCTTCCAAAAGTAGGAAAAGTTAACATGGAACAAGAACAAGAAATATTTCCAAGAATATTAATAAGATGGAAATGGGCATTGTTTGTATTACACAAACTTGTGGATTGACTATTTAAGCTCCATAACAATAGAAATGGCTCCAAATCATAGTGTCAAAGTTGTATCTTTCTTCTTAGAAGAAATCAAAATTAATATATCAAATCAAAGTGAATGGCGTCACCTTTTGATGTTTCTTGCATTTGGATAGAACTCTCTTACTCTCTTTTAAAGCCATTGTTCAATCAAATTTGTCAAATTCCTCTAAACAACCAATAGCTCGTGACTACCTTGCCATTCTTTCCCAGAATTGATTATTTATTATACAAACACTCTTCAATAGTGTTGGTTCCAATTAGACTATTGATGAGCTGTGATGGACACCCCTTACCATTTTCCTAAAAAGTAGGTGGCCTGAAGTATATGGGCTATGCATTTGGAAACAAGTTCAGTTTTGGATACTCATCAAAATTTAACAGTTTAGACCCTAGGACGCGTAGCAAACTGTCAACGGAAATGAGGCCTAATTTGGAACAAAGCCTAATAAGTAAGCAATAAAAACCAAGGAGTAAGAGAAAGAAATAAAGAATAAGAGTCAGAGTGCAAACCCCCTCCCAAAAATAGAAATAAACAAGAAAATGTTTAAAAAAAAACAAAAGAAAGAAATAAAGAGTGAAGAAACAACAACACCTCAGATCATGTTTGTAGAGAAGATTAAGTGACGCCAAAATCATCATATCATAGCTCAACGGAGCAAATCATCTCGAATTGAATGGAGTTAGGGGATTCGCGGGGATTCGCTACTACTATTGATCAAAATGAAAAATTAGAATAATGTCATACAAGCATAATTTTTGTGTAAAATTTTAACACAAAAAAAGATATGGCCTTTTGTGGTGCTTTCATTTTAAATCAAAACGACCCACCATTCTGCTCATAATTTCAAAAGTACTATTACCGGGATTGTCAAAAAGTGGGAAGTTGGAAAAATAATTGCAAACTCATGAAGTGATTTGTGCACTGAATTCATGAATTTGCAATTATTTTTTATATTTCCCATTTTTTTTTTTTATATTTCCTCATTATGTATATGGACTTTTTTTGTATAGAAATTATGTTTGTATACTATTTTCTCAACACAAAAAAAAAATAATAATAAAAAAATTAATAATAATTATGATAATGTGACACATCCCAATCTAAGAGTGTTTCAGACAAAAATTGCCAAGTAACCAAACCACTAGAGTTTCCTAATAACTATATTGATAGAAAGCTGCCAACTGTGAGTCATATGAAAGTCCAACAACTAACCTTGACAAGGAGACAAACAGTAGCAATGAGCATACTACTTAATGGTGCATCAAACACTTTAATCAGCTCCATGTTCGTCCTTAAGTGTATATGCTTGATTGTGCAATCAAACGTATTAATCAGAGAGATTTATTTTGTTTCAGTTGAGACATTTTTTGGATTCTTTTTTCAGTTGAAACCCATGAATATGATTTTTTGGATATTGGATTAAATAAAAACATTATTTGTATCCCATATTGGTTGGATGAAAAACATTTGAGATTGTTTCCATTGTCCACCCCAAACTAGAATGCTTTGTTTGTGTTTGGCCAAAATATTTCACATTTTTTGACATTTGACATAACAAAAATTATAAATCAACCAATAATGTTTTCCGTAGTCAAAGACAAATGAGCTGATTTTCATTTTCTAAGAGAAACATGTCACTAATTTTTTTTTTATCACTGTTTGTATCTTTTACTGTCATGGATACTTATGATTGATTTTAATATTTAGAGATAATTATTAAAAAATTAATGATGCATATATCGGCAATATAAATTGGTAACAAAAAGCCATAATATATATAACTCAATTTTTAAATGTAAAAAAATATTATTCAAATTAGAATTGTACCAGTGTTACCACCACTACCCTCACCCATATCATCACCACCATCACTTTCACCACAACCACTACCACTATTGCATTTTTTCTAGGATTGTAACTAAATAGATAAAACCACAAAAAGACAATTGTTGAAAAATATTTTTAGCAAAAAAAAAAAAAAAAATCCTCTATCAAAATAGAGGATAAATATTGGAACTTTTTTCTTTTTCTCGAGACTGCCATACAATTGTTTTGAGTCACATGAAATAATTCTAATTCAATTGGAATGAAATGGGACAATGTCTGGTTTTTTTTTTTTTTTGTAAAAAAAAAAATATTCTTAAAAAAAAAACAATTTAGAAAATTGACCAACTTTTCAAACTATTTAGAAAACTAACCTGCCTTTTAAAACCGTATTTTGAAAATACAATTTTACCTTAAAATCGCATGTTGAAAATGCAATTTATGATAACATGAACTTCACTTTTTGAAATTGCATTTTTAATTTCAAAATCGCATTTTGAAAATGCGATTTCAAAAAACAAGTTAGTTTCCCAAATAGTTTGAAAAGTAAGTCAATTCTTCCATTAATTTATTTTTTTTGGAATATTTAAAAAAAAAAACTCTTTAAACGTGGGCAATAGGCCCTGATTTGCAAAAACAAGAAAAACACTTTTTTCTGTTTCAGTTATCTCTTCCACAACCAACCTTCAAAGAAACTCGCACAGAAACAAAAACAGAACCTCCAATGAATCTCCGATCTCCATGTACTCTCTCCACTCCCCTTCACCGGCTGTTTCCTTCTCCGAACTCCTCGAATTCATTGAACTTCTGCCGTAGAACGACGTCGTCGGAGCTCCAAACGCCGGTCGAACTCACCGGCCGTTCCGGTAGCCATTCACAGTCGGTTCCGACTCACAAAGTCACAGTACGCGACAGAAAACGTGGACTTGTCCACGAGTTCTTCGTTCCGGAGGTCAATTTTCAATTTCTAGGGCATATATATTATACATATGTGTTCGTATGTATTTCATATTTTGTGTATGTATTGGTTTCTCAGTTGTGTTTATCAATGTAAATGCAGGACCAGTATATACTTCACACTGCTGAGTCTCAGAATATTTCGCTCATGTTACGTACCTTCTCCTTTGCTGAATGCATCTCTCTCTCTCTCTCTCTCTCTCTCTATAAATCACAGGAAATTATATGAAATGAAAGTTTTGGAAAGCCTTAAATTAACCAACTTAGGTCCAATGTGATTTGATATTCTAACCAGGAATTCTTAAGCCTATTATATCAAATTCTGTTTTAGGTGTGAATGAACCCCCATCCTTTATTTATGGTTATATCAAATTAGGAATTCTTAAACCTGTTTTGTCAAATATTTCCTCATATATCAAACTCTCGTTGTGTTTTAGGTGTGAATGAACCCCCATGCTATTAAATTTATCGTTTTTTTTATAATAATTTTAAAATTATTTATGTAACATAAATAATTATTATTGATACTTTTTATTTTATTTTACATTAAAAATAAAATTTTGTGATGATTCTATGATGTAACTCTTCTTAACAATAACAACCATGTCCAAGGCTTCTCTCACCTTGATTTTCTGAACAATCTGAGTACTTAGGATCTTGATTTAACCACCTTGCCCAGCTTGGGAGGCTAGAGGCAGACATACTTTTGTTGCCTCATTCTTTCTTGATTGTATTTCATATAGATTTGAGCCTAGGACTTAATGTGTATTTAAGCTAGCACCCTCTTTTGTAACCAAGTGTTAACTTGGAGAGCTGTAAGCCTGTAAGGCATTTGCTTCTGTTGTAACCATGTAATACTTTTGTAATGAAATACTCTGATGAATAGATGAGTGTGGACTTTTATGTATCAATGCCTGTCTCTATATGGATGGGTTTAATGTTGTTATTCTGAGGGCGTTACACCAAAAGTAACAAAATGACTTCTCAACAAACTATTTCATAAAGGGTGAATCTCTCACCAACAAAAAATATTCACAGGACTTAATACCTTATACCTTTCTTACCTTAGATTTTTCAACAAGTTATTCTATATTAAATAACTTACCAACCATAACTTAATTTTAAAATCATGCTAAGTATAAAACTAAAATTAAAAAAGAAATCCAGTGTAAATAATTTTATCTCTCTTGTATAACAAAATATTGTTTCGACTGAGGTACAGTACGGATTGAGTATATATCAGGTACAAGTTTGACTATGCAAAAAATTAAGAAGAATTGGGTACATGTTTCATGTATCCGATACATATGCATAAGTATAATACGAAATATCATACGCCGATAAATACCCGATACAAATATGACATGTTTATCGAAATACTCATACTTCAAAACTAAAAATATATTTTTTCATTAAATTTAATGTCTAAAATTTTTTTCTTAAAAAATGTGAGTTATATGAAAGTTCCCCAACAACTAACCTTGACAAGGAAACAAACAATAGCAATGAGCATACTACTTATGGTTCATCAAACACTTTTAATCAGCTCCATGTTTGTCCTTAAGTGTATATGTTTGATTGTGCAATCAAACGTATTAATCAGAGAGAGATTTATTTTGTTTCAGTTGAGACATTCTTTGGATTTTTTTTTAGTTGAAACCCGTGTATATGATTTTTTGGATATTGGATTAAATAAAGTTATACTGACGTTATTTTGTATCCCAAATTGGTGGATGAAAAACATTTGAGATTGTTTCCATTGTCCACCCCAAACTAGAATGCTTTGCTTGTTTTTGGCCAAAATATTTTTCACATTTGTTGACATTTGATATGGCAAAAATTATAAATCAACCAATAATGTTTTCCGTAGTCAAAGACAAATGAGCTGATTTTCATTTTCTAAGAGAAATATTTCACTAATTTTTTTATCATTGTTTGTATCCTTTACTGTCATGGATACTTATGATTGATTTTAATATTTAGAAATAATTATTAAAAAATTAATGCTGCATATATCGGCAATACAAATTGGTAACAAAAAGCCATGATATATATAACCCTCAATTTTTAAATGTAAAAAATATTTTTCAAATTAGAATTATAAAAAATATAACCGGCACAGTACCAGTGTGACCACCACTACCCTCACCCATATCATCACCACCATCACTTTCACCACAACTGCCACCACTATTGCATTTTTTCTAGGATTGTAACTAAATAGATAAAACCACAAAAAGACAATTTTTGAAAAATATTTTTTGCAAAAAAAAAATCCTCTATCAAAATGGAGGATAAATATTGAAACTTTTTTCTTTTTCTCCAGACTGCCATACAATTGTTTTAAGTCGCATGAAATAATTCTAATTCAATTGGAATGAAATGGGACAATGTCATATTTTGTATTTTTTTAACAAAAAAAATAAAATAAAATAAAATAAAATAAAAAATAAAAAAAATTAACGTATGAACATATCTATAAAAGATATTCCACAAAAAAAAGTTGTATTATTTATTCAACTCATATTTCTCAAAAAGTGGATCCCACAATAATAGCTTCAAATAATTAAACAGAAATAATATGAAAGGAGGAAAACCGGATTGCCTACTTCAATGCATATATATATCTTGGTTATAAATATATAATCCCTTATGGTTTGACCCAATGGTCTTGCAGCTACACATTAAGGTGTTGTGAAGGGGAGGTAAGGGTTGAAATTGATAGAGTAGTGATAAACTCTTTTAGTGGTAATCTAACTATATTAACACTATCTTTGTCAAAAAGTAAAAAAATCTCATAGTAGAGTTTTATATTCTTTAAATAGACGCATCAAATGTTTCAAAGCATATTCTTCACTATTTACATATAACCTATAAAGATATTTCACAATAAAATAGTTTTAAGGTCAATTTTGTACATCATTATCCATGTCTATATTGTTCGCACCAAGCACGACTCCAAGAGCATTATTTGCTTATATGTCATTCCTATCCCTTTGTTCATATAAGTATTTGTTCATATAAGTAGGGCAACTTCAGCATTAGGGGAACAGCTACTCTTCTTGGAAATTTGATTGCTTCCAATTCCAAGGGAGAGGGGACCACAAAAATCATACAGAAATTTTGATCTGAAAGAAAATCAAAGATAAGATGCACTCTTCCAAAACTAGGAAAGTTAACATGGAACAAGAACAATAAATATTTCAAAGAATATTAATAAGATGGAAATGGGCATTGCTTGTATTACACAAACTTGTGAATTGACTATTTAAGCCCCATAACAATAGAAATGGCTCCAAATCATAATGTCAAAGTTGTATTTTTCTTCTTAGAAGAGCTCAAAATTAATATATCAAATCAAAGTGAATGGCTTCAGCTTTTGATTCTCTTACTCTCTTTTAAAGCCATTGTTCAATCAAATTTGTCAAATTCCTCTAAACAACCAATAGCTCATGACTACCTTGCCATTCTTTCCCAGAATCAATTATTTATTATACAAACTCTTCAATAGTGTTGGTTCCTATTAGACTATTGATGAGCCGTGATGGACACCCTTTGCCATTTTCCTAAAAAATTGGTGGCCTGAAGTATACGGTCTATGCATTTTGGCCACAAGTTCAGTTTTGGATAATGGAAGCCCACAAGTTCAGCTAGGAGTGACATTGCCCAGCAAATTGTCAAGGGAAATTAGGCCTAATTTGGAACAAAGCTTAGTAAGCAATAAAAATCAAGAAGAGAAAGAAATAAAGAATAAGAGTCAGAGTGCAAACCCCCTCCCAAAAATAAAAATTAACAAGAAAATGTTTAAAAAAACAAAAGAAAGAAATAAAGAGTGAAGAAACAACAACACGTCAGATCATGTTTGTAGAGAAGATTAAGTGATGCGAAAATCATCACATCATAGCTCAATGGAGCACATCATCTCGAATTGAAGGGAGTCAAGGGATTCACGACTACTATAAAATTAGAATAATGTCATACAAGCATAATTTTTGTGTAAAATTTTAACACAAAAAAGATATGGCCTTTTGTGGTGTTTCATTTTAAATCAAAATGACCCACCATTCTGCTCATAATTTCAAAAGTACTACTACCGGGAATGTCACAAAAAGTGGGAAGTTGAAAAAATAATCGCAACTCATGAAAGTACAAGTGATTTGTGCACTGAATTGTGCAAATAATGTTGTACTTTTAAGAATTTGCAATTATTTTGATATTTCCCATTTTTTTTTTTTTTTATATTTCCCCATTATGTATATGTACTTTTTTTTTGTATAAAAATTATGTTTGTATACTATTTTCTCAACACATTAAAAAAATACAATAATTATGATAATGTGACACATCCCAATCTAAGAGTTTGTTTCAGCTAGCTAGACAAAAATTGCCAAGTAACCAAACCACTAGAGTTTCCTAATAACTATATTGATACAAAGCTGCCAACTGTTCTATTTATTAGAGTTCTCTACTAGTTATATTGTAGTAATGAGTTAGATCAAATGAGACAAGAATGTTACCCTTAACGTGTGCAACTCAATCTCAGTTGGACCTAGAAAAATACTCCTTGTTAGGAACTCAACAGCAAGTTTTGCTTATAAATACTACTCATTCTTTACAAGCTATTCACTCCTTTATGTTACATGAGCCTTTCACACCATAGAAACACTTTTGATAAACTTCTCTGAAACAAACACATAAAACCCTTTTACTACAGAGAAAAACAATGTTGGCACTCACTGTGTTGATCACTCTCTGGTGGAGTTCACTAGGGAAGTCCATGCCCATTGACACTACAGTTGCACAAGATGGATCAGGGAATTTCACAAGAATCGCAGATGCCATTCTTGCAGCCCCTAACTACAGTAAACGTAGATACTACATAAAAATCAAAGAAGGCTTCTATAGAGAGAACATTTTCGTTGGAAAACAAAAAACAAATCTAACATTTGTTGGGGATGGCATGAACGAGACGGTGATATCAGGCAACAAGAGCCATGGTGGAGGTTTCAAAACCTATTATACAGCAACAGCAGGTTAGTCAACTAATTGATCTTTAGAGTTGAATTTGGATACTTGGATTTTGACTTAGGTTATGAATTCTAAATCTAGGCATCAGAAATCCTTTTAAATTTGAAATTTTGATTGAAGAGAAATAAATTAAATTAGTAGATTGAATTAAAATTTATACCAGTCTCAACATTAGACTGACATTCTTTTTTCTTTCCTTCATTTATAGGGATAGAGGATGAAGGCTTTGTTGCACAAGATATTACCTTTGAGAACACAGCTGGACCATTCATGAACCAAGCAGTAGCATTAAGAAATTCAGCAAAAAATTCAGCATTCTTCAGATGCCGTTTTCAAGGGTATCAAGATACCCTGTACACTGTAATAGGAAAACAATTTTTCAGAGAATGCGAAATTTACGGCACAGTAGATTTTATATGTGGGAATGCTGCTGTATTCTTTCAAAATTCTATAATCTACGCAAAGAAGCCTGTTAACTTGCAGACAAACACAATAACAGCACAAAAAAGAGAAAACCCAAATGAAAAAACTGGTACAATTATGCAGAATTGCACTATAAAAGCTGCAGATGACCTACGCCAAGAAAATTTCAAATTTAAAACATTTTTAGGTAGGCCATGGGGGGATCTCTCAAGAACAATCATCATGCAAAGCTACCTTGATGATATAATTGACCCCAAGGGTTGGCTGGAATGGAATGGTCGTAGTCCAGACAGAGTTTATTATGCAGAGTACAAGAACGAAGGACCTGGAGCCAATACTGGAGGAAGAGTACCATGGGAAAAGGTAATTAATAGCTCCATTGAAGCAACTGATTTTACACTCAGAAATTTCATTGAGGGAGACAAATGGATTCCGGCAACAGGAATACCCTTTTTTCTAGATTTACTATAATTTTGTAATGTACAATACCATTATGGACATTTCCTTTCATCTTGCATAACTTCCTTCAAAGATTGCAATGCAAAGACAGTGATGTTGAAGTGTTTCAATTACATTATGGACATTTTACGGTTGGCTAAATATATTACTTTTTGGTGTTTTAGCACATCTGAGTGCTGTTAGAATTCAATTAATGAATTTCATATACCCAAATATTATGTTTTTGGCCTTGCCTCGTCCAGTACTGGCCAAATTTACACAACCTTTCATCAACTTCTTCAAAGTTATACCTAGAATCCTCTTATTGGAACTTTTGTTAGATACCAAGAAGTTAGCTACAATTGCTCTCTCACAGAACTTAAATTATTTTAAGTCAGATGTCAAACTAGAGTTATCATGAAAAAATCCATTCTATCAAAGCCTATGATGACTTCAACCAAACTCACAGCACAGTACAAGCTGGGTTCTCCTATAAGTCCAAACCAAACTAATTTAAGATTTATAGATATCTTTCCAGATCCAAACTAACCACCCAATGAAAATCAAATACCAGAAAATAAAAGAAAGATCTGAGAGTCGTGGACCGTACCTTAATCACGCTTTGATTAATTTACACGGATTACAAACCCCCATTGTGAAGACACCTATTCAAAGATGAGAATTGTGTCAGGACAAAAGTGATGATCGCCTGAAAATTCTTGCAGCACAAAAGAGTCCATTCTTTTCATAATTAAAAGACAGCTTCATATAACATGAAAACTTTCTCAAGAATGATCATCATGCAAAGCTTCCTTGATGACATAATTGATCCCAAGGGTTGGTTAGAATGAAGTGGCCATAGTCTAGACAAAGTTTACTATGCATAGTATGAGAACAGAGAACCATAGTTAGCACTAAAGGAAGAATACAATTGGCAATGGTAATTAATAGCTCCACAGAATAGCTAACTTTACACTACAAATTTTCATTGGAGGGGACTTCTGGATTCTATTGATAGGAATTCCATTGTTTCTCGATTTACTATAAATTTGTAACATACGATATCAACTCCCATGCATTCAGTGACTGTTGTTCATAGGCACTTACACACTAGACAAATATGTGTTGCCAATATGTTGCATGTTTGAGTACATATTCTCTACGTTTTCAATGTACCAATGTGACTAATTGAGCATACAATGGATGTGATATTGTTGTATTAATCCTAGTCTCACGCTCAAGATTACCCAAACATATTAACAAGCATATCAATGATCAAGCTCACCCAAACATATTGGCAAGCATATCAATGATGTATGCACAAGTGCCTTTTAAATGAGAACAACAATCACTGGATATAGGAAGTGTTAGAGGAAGGAAGAAACCTAAATTAACGTGGGCTAATATAGTAAATAAAGATATGAATCTTCTTAATTTGACTAACCAAATGACTTTTGATAGAGTCAAGTGGTAAGAATGATTCATATAACCGACCCCATCTGATGAGACTTAAGGCTTTGTTTGGTTGGTTGGTAACACAATCATTGGATATCACTCTCCAACAATTTCATTGTAGGCAGTGTATACATGCATAATTAACATTATTTATACTTGGAAAACTAATCCTGTGGATCAGCTTATCAAACCATCCCTTGTGCATGTCAATATTTATTTTATGCTCAAATTCAAAACCTTCGATAAAATGGCTATTAGCAAGAAAAAATAAAAATTGTATTTAAATGAACTTGGAGCTAATAAAATCGATCATCCATTAAGTCTAAGAAATTTTGTAGTCATTAAGGCCCAGGTAATATGATATCTCCTTATAAAGCTCTTAATTCAGAAATGGCAAATTTGGCACACCAGTTAGAATGAGAATGTGGGACTCTCATCTTGGTGTAAAGATAGACATATATACATATTTTGATTCATGTCACACTACTAAAAAAAAAAATTTTTGCGACCGCCACGAGCCGACACAAATAATAGAAATGTGATCACAAAAGACCTTTTGCGACCACCATGTGTCGGAAAATAGGGGACGCGAATGTGGGGTGGCAAATACTATTTGCTACGGCAAAGCAACAGTCACAAATTATTTGCAACTGCCTAACCTACTTATGGCGTTCGTTTTTTTGTGGTCACAAAAAATAAAAAACTAATTAATATTTATGTTTTGTTACATGGACTTGGGTATGGGTGTCAGATGCAGGTATGTATCTAGAGGTCAGACTCATCAAACCATAAATTTAAGGATAGGTGGACTCAACAAAAAAATGTCATATTTTTATATTTTTAATCAAATATGTGAGATAAAATTGTCTCACATGTAACATACAGTGTCAAGAAGACATTTATAGAAATTATTCAACAATATGTACACATAATAGCAGTGTTATATACAATTATATAAGAAGTGTCTGTTAAAAAGTAGCCGACACATATCCTATACATACCTATACCCTTGTCCGAGTGTTGAGTGTTCGACACAAATATTTGATTTATTTTGAAGAGTCCATATAAGTTGTAACATAGCATTTTGGCAACCATCTTGGTATCGTTGCAAACAATCTTCAATGAAATTTCATAAAAATGCTAGAAGAATATCCTTATTATAAAAACAATTATTTGCAAATTATTATTTATTATAAAAATCGTATATACATTTGCTACAAAGAAATCAGTTGCAAGCACCTAACAGTATTTTTAATGAACAATAATATAAAATTAACAAATTAATTTAAATCTATAATAGATATATCAACCTATTTTCACATATATATTCAAATGTTATATGCGATAATAATAGACAAATAAAGTAATAAATGTAAAGAGTTATATTTGTGAAGAATGTTCATACATGTATCACATGATATATAATGAAAGCTATGCCTTTCAAATGTTGCCATGTGTCCATGTAACAATCTACCATCTGTCCTCTCCAAGTAATATGTCTTCTATTTTCTCTATTCTATGTCATTTTGTTTTCCCAACAACCTCTCAAGTTTATTTATTCTCTTTCTTTTTGTCTTCTTTTGCAATATTTGATTCTCCATGTGTGATTGTTTTGTGATTTTTCATCTTTACATTAATTAAACTATTGCTTCTCTTCATTTTTACATTAATTAACTAAACTGTTACATCTCTATTAACTTTGCATCTATTCATCTTGCTCTAATCAATAGTATGCTCTAATTTGTTCCGTAGACAGTTCTTATATGTAAATTTCTTATTTTTTTATTGGTTTTTTTTATTTTTTTTTTGGGTAAGATTTTGATTATTTATTCCAAGAAACTCCTTGTATTATGATAGTCGAACTTTGCAAAATATCATAATGTATAACGATTCTGGTTTAGACCCGACCTGTTTATTGTTTTGGATTCGGGATTCCTTGTCTTATTTGGTTGTTCATATCCTTATTCATCTTATTCTTGATTGAGTTTGGTTGTTTGGATGTCTTTGTTGCATTTGGAATAGGTCGGGAGTTTGTTTCTCAATAGACTTGTTGCCCAGATTTTAGTCAGTTCGTTCGAGCAGTCTTTTGGTCACTCGAGCGGTCCTTGAGAACTTCCAATATATTTGCAGGTCTGCAAATATATTGGGCGGGTGTTTTTTTTTTTCCGCTCGAGTGATGTTTCTTGCGCTCTAGCGGTGTTTCTTGCGCTCTAGCGGTCTTGCCTCAAGTAGTCCTTGCGCTTGAGCGGTCTTTGCGAACTCTCTGCAAAAGTACTGGGAGGTGGTGTTTTTTTCTCGAGCAGTCACTTTGTTCGCTCGAGCGAACTCACTTATCGTGTCTGGTTGCTCGAGCAGTGTTTTGGTCGCTCGAGCGGTCTGCGCGTATATCAGTTCGTAACAGCTACTTTTTGAGTCACTTTTTCATATATCTCTCTCTCTCTCTAAACATTTCAAAAACCCTAAATCTAGACCTTTTCTCTCTAAAACTCATCTTCAACCTCCAAATACTCTCAATCTATTTATCTCTACACTCTAGTCCCTTTGATAAAAAGGTAGAGCTCACCTAGAGTTTCGTTTAAATTGGAACAAAGTTGGTTTTCGGCTTCGTCGAGGTTTCTCCACTCTCTTCCTTACCTTCTAGCTTTGAGGTAGGGATTTCTCCAACTTTCGTATGGTTTTTAACTTGGTTATTTGCTTTTCTAAACAATATTGTGATTTGGATAAACCCAAGGTTTTGGTTTTGAAATCAAAATAGGGGTTTTCAAAATGTTTTCTTAGAAATGATTGTGGGTTTGTAAATGTGGTGGAGTTGTGATAAAATGGTGAATTTTTATCCTTGAAATTAATTTGTAAAAAAAAGGGGATTTTGCCCTAAAATGTGAATACTTGATTTTGTAAGGAGGAAATGAAAATTATGTTGGGTTTTATAAAATTGGAATGATGATGATGATGATGGTGGAGTTGAATATACATTATCACTCCCATCTTGAAATTTTGGAAAGTTTATATTTATTGAAAATTATCTATCTGTTTACAGATATCTGTTTTGGGCTATCGGTGGAGGATAGTTATGATTGTTATAGAAATTGCATGAGAATTAAGAGAATTGAAACTAATTTCTCATATATGTGCATTGAGCATTGTGCATACTTAACACATTAGAAATGTATTTTTTTTTTTTTTTTGAGAAAAATGGGTGAATACTCAGGTGAATTTGGGTAGGGGATGTGGTTGTGGTATTATTGTTGGCTTGTGTATCCTTGGTAAAAGTCCAGAAACCCGCACGGCTAGGTGCCGAGCCTTCCGGTTAATATCAGTAAAAATAGCAATTGGTAGTGCTTGTATAGCCTACTTGTAAACACGTACCTAGAGATTCCCAGAGTTGTATCCACTGCCCTGTTTTCTATTGTAAAGAAAGTGGTTTTCATGAATTGTGATATAATCAGACATTGCATGGTTTTTGGAAAGAGATGTAAAACATTTTGACATGAGCATTGCATATGCATTCACCTTATAACTTTGTTAAGATTCATACACTGTGTTAGAGTATCTCTACTGGGTTTTGGCTCACCTTATGTGGAAAATCATTTTTAGGTGTTGATGATATGCCTCCGCCAAGGCCATAGCTTGGGAGGACTTAGAGCCAAGAGTTTCTATTTGCTATTGTTGTAATTACTTTGTACAAGCTTAGGGCTTTATTTGTATTGAGTTTCAAACTTAGTTTTGTTGTAATCAAGTATCGTCTTGGAAAGCTGTAACCATTAAGGCATTTATATATCTGTTTAACTTTGGCAAGATTTAATATCAAGGGGTTGTTTGGGATGGCCTAAATAAGTGCATTTTTTGTCTTTTTACGAAAAGATGTGCAGAAAAGTAGGGAGGTGATGTGATGGAAAAAAGATAAAAAGATAGATTATTTTTGGGTTGCCAAACTTGGACTTAAATTAAAATGAATTTAAATTTACAAAATTAATGTCATCACTTTTATTTACGTCAAATTGTCAAAAATTACTTTTAATTACTTACCAAATACAATATTATGATTGTATTTTAAAAAATAAAATTGATTCACTTGCTAATATAATATTTTCAAACTTAATTTAATAATGTTTGGCTTCTAAATTTAAAAGTGATTTACAGAGAAATATGTTATACATTGAAACCACATATACATAAAACAATTTCAAACATAACCATTGGATTCAACGGGTAGAACACTAGTATATATATATAATTTATACGTGTGCAAACAAAATATAAGCTTCCATACATG